TCAATCTTATTTATTAAAAAATAGATCTATGGATGAGATTAATTATATAATTAAAAATGCGCGTATGCATATTAGGCATTATGATGTACACTTATACTAGATAACGTAATGGGGTGTTTGGCAAATGGCTGATAGCTAATTGGTTTAGCTAGTACTTGATGACTGAATGTGTTAGCTGGTTTGACCAGTTGGTTGTATTAGCTGATTATAAAATACTGTTTGGTAAATTAGTTGTTTACTAATAGCTGATTGAATGTAAAAAGACACTTAAAAGTATAAGTATATTGTGTTATATTAACCTTTAAATATAACAAGATGGGATAAACTCTTATTAATAAATAATTATAAAATTTGGGTATCATCTATACTTTTTTAAAGACATAAGTTAATTATTTTTGTTTAGTTAACTCTTATTAAATTATATTCTAAAACAATTTTATTAATTATTTTTAATTTTAATACTTTAAAATGATTTACTGTTGTAATAATAATAATAATAATAATAATAATAATAATAATAATAATAATAATAATAATAATAATTATTATTATTATTATTATTATTATTATTATTATTATTATTATTATAAAATAAAATGACAAACCCACCACTCATTTAAAAGCATATCCCATTAATTCTAAAGGATAAAATAGTCAATATACCATTAATTAATTTCAAATCAGTTGATCAAAAACGCTACATTCACCAGCTTTTTCATTTTTAACTTATTGGCCCAATCAGCCAAGACTAATCAGCCATTTACCAAACACTTCAAAACAGCTTATTGGTAGGTTAAACAGTAAACTTAGCCAAATCAGCTAAATTTTGGCTTATCATCCAATAACCAAACACCCCCATTACTTACAAATTTAATACTTTTATATTTTTTGATGTAAAAGTATTGTTGTTTTCGTCAAAAGTATTATATTTTCTCTTATAAGTAATGTTAAACTGAAAATGTAATACTTTTGATGAAAAATATAATACTTTTACATCAAAATGTAAAGGGTAACACTTGTGTGAGATCGTCTCACGATTCTTTGAGACGAGTCGGATCTTTGATTAATGAGTCGGATCTTTGACCTCATTAATCAATGATCCGACCCGTCTCACAGATTGAGACCCGTGAGACAGTCTCACACAAGTTTTTGTCAAATGTAAAAGTAAAACTCCCTCTATCTCATTTTATCTGTCTTACTTACTATTCATTGATCAAACCAACTCTTTCTTCATTGTTTATTTTCTTTAGTATTTTTTACTTATTTTTAAATTTATTTTTTTGTGTTTAATAGTGCTTTCAGTGTAGTTTCTAAATTCTAAATATATAAATATTGTATACTAATACTAAACTTAATATTATGAAAAATTTGATTAAAAACAACTTCAGTCAAGTCTCGTTAACTGAACCAGACACATAAAATGAGATGGAGGGAGTACATTTTTCTTCAAAAATATTACATTTTCTCATATAAGCAATAAATATTTTATTCTTAATTTAGTAATACATTTGTTAGTATAAGTATTACATTCCATCTTGATCCTACTCGTCTCACGGACAAAGATATGTGAAATAATTTTACACAAGTTTTTGTCAAGAAAAAAGAATTGATTTGACCAATGTACAGTAAATAGGATAAATAAAATGGGACATAGAGAGAGTATATTTTAAGGCAAATTTTGTTGTAAGACCACCTTACAGGTCTCAATCTGTGAAAAGGGTGAAGTTATGATAATTTGAGTCTTATAGTATATAAGACTCATAATATTATTTCTTGCATAATGTCTATCACGGAGTCTAATTTTTCTATGAATTATTACATTATTACATTTATGTTATAAAGTATTATATATATATATATATATATATATATATATATATATATATATATATATATAATTTAAAGTATTGATTATATGTAATTTTGTTAAATTGTCTATTGTAATTTTTCTATAATGTATTTCTGTTAAATTACAATATAATTATGTCGTGTTATTACATTATTCCTTATTAAATGTGTATTGCATTTATGTTATAAAGTATTATATATAAAGTTTAAATTATTAATTATATCTGCAATTTTGTTATGTTCTTATTATATTTCTTACAAATTGTCTATTATAATTTTGGTATAAAATAATATATTTATGATATAATAATATAATATATAAGTATTAATGGTATATGAAATTTTGTTATATTATTACTTTATTTGCTGCAAATTGTCTATTACAATTTTACTATAAAGTATTACAATTATGATATATAAATTATTATATATAATGCTTAAAGTATTGATAATATTTCACAATTTTATTATATTATTTCTTTATTTTCTGCAAATTGTATATTACAATTTTACTATTTAAGATATAATAAAGTATTATAGATAACGTTTTAAATATCAAGCAAAAATATACACCAACAATTTAAAAGTTGGCCAAAGTATAAGAAATAAATAATTTCAAGGGAAAACAACACTTTTGGCCCTTCAATTATTTTACTTTTAGAAATTTAGTTCTTGTTAATTGATTTGAACAAATTTAGTCCTTTAATTATTCATAATGTATCACATTTAGTCTCCGATATTTATATTATTAAAATTTTTATTAATCATTTATTTCATAGGATTGTATTTGTCCATTACTCTTAACCATTAACCATTAAATTTCAATCTTTGCATACCCAATTGGCCAGTTGAGTTACTTCCACCGGAGACTGACAAATTAAAAATCTTAGCCTTTGCTGTGGGTTTGGCATGGGATCAATGATGGGAAACATCTCATCCAATTCCTTGGATCTCAAATCATGGGAAACATCCAATCGTTATGCTGTGCATCCGTATGCACCATGCATGGTGCATACGGATGCCAAAACGACATCGTTTTATTAAAAAACGTGCGTCTCCCCTTTAAAAAAAATTCAGGTTCGATTCCTAGCAACAACATTATATTGTTCATTCATTCTGGAATTTTAGTTCATAGATTATGGAATTATAGTTCATTGATTATGGAATTATAGTTCATCGATTATGGAATTGTAGTTCATCGATTCTGAAATTTTAGTTTATAGATTATGGAATTTTAGTTCATTCATTCTGGAATTTTTAGCTCATAGATTAGATTATGGAATTATAATTCATCAATTATGGTGTGAGCACATAGCCATTAATGTGCAATCCAACTATTAGCTTAGGCTTTTAGTTGAGATGGAGCACATGCTTCAATTTGGTATCAGAGCCAGACCAAAAGTCACAGGTTCGAATCTCAACGCTACTCATAAGCGACTATGGTTTACCGGTCCACATGTTGCTTGGAACCCAACTCATAAGCGGGCTACTCATAAGCGACTATGGTTTACCGGTCCACATGTTGCTTGGAACCCAACTCATAAGCGACTATGGTTTACCGGCTCACGCACACGTGAGGGGGCACATAGCCATTAAAGTGCAATCCAACTATCAGCTTAGGCTTTTACCGGCTCACGCACACGTGAGGGGGCACATAGCCATTAAAGTGCAATCCAACTATCAGCTTAGGCTTTTAGTTGAGATGGAGCCCATGCTTCAATTTATGGAATTATAGTTCATCGATTATGAAATTTTAGTTCATATGTTGTTGTTGGGAATCGAACCTGATTTTTTTTTTTAAAAGGGGAGACGCGCATTTTATTAAAACGACGTCGTTTTTGCATCCGTATGCACCATGCATGGTGCATACGGATGCACAGCATAATTTGCCGGAAACATCCGAATTGCTCAGGATTTCATAACCATGGTAGCTAGGAGAATTAGGCCCTGTTTGGTAAAAAATTGGCCAACAGTCAATTTTAGCCTATTTGACTACTATTAATTTTTTGATTTAGTTAAAATATCAATATAAATGTTTGGTTAATTAGCTTTTTGCAACTCCAAAATGCTAAAATTCAAAAAGCTACCCTAAGCAACTTTTTCAATTAGCTTTTTGAGATAAGAAATTATACCAAACAGCTATCAGCTAACAGCTAATTTACCAAACACTTTTCTACAATCAGCTAATGTTATGAACTATTTATACCTTTTAATTAACACAATCAGCCAACAGCTAACAGCTATCAGCTAACAGCCATTTTACCAAACAGGGCCTTAGTGAAATTGCAGAAAACAAAAAAGTGGTTTAATTACCTCTTGGGGAGGCAGGGCGTAAGGAATGAAAGTGAAAGGAGGGGCGCGGCGGTATGGGCTAAAGCTTTTGTCGAGTGAATTTCATTTTTGGTCCTATTGTTATAGACTTTTTCAATTTTAGTTCATCATAATTATTTTTTCCACATTGCATCCACTATTATTAAAAGTGTTCCAATTTTAGTTCATTTTTATATTTTTCATGGACTAAAATTAGACCACTTTTAATAATAGTGGATGCAATGTGACAAAAATAATTATGATGGACTAAAATTAAAATGACCCCTATACCAGTAAGACCAAAAATAGAATTCACTCGCTTTTGTCTTTACACAGCTTTTCAAAAGATTTTGGGTAGCCGAGGGTCTCCGGCCGCCATTGTTGTTGGCAGCTAGCGTAGCTTCTTATGTCACAAAATTTCTGACTCTGAACAAAGCTCTGGTATTGGTTTTGATGATATTAAATAGAAGACAAACGGCGGAGGTATTTTTTTTAATGGTTTAGAGTAATTGAAAAATATAAACTTATGAAAAAGAAATTAATAATAAATTTTCTAATTATATAATACCAGGTATTAAATGTGACATATTATAGACAATTAAAGGACTAATTTTGTTCAAATCAATTGACATGAACTAAATTTCTAAAAGTAAAATAATTGAGGGACCAAAAGCGTCATTATCCCTAATTTCAATTAGTAACACAAGTTTACACTCCCAACAGGTCATTTCTTTTTCTCAAAATTCTAATTCTTGGGTGACAATAATAGTCCCAAAGTATGCAGTACTAAAGTTGAAATATAAACATTCACCCTAATATTGAAACATCTTTTAAGAATTTTGTTTTTTTTTTTTTTCATTTATGCCACTCGTATATGAACTTACTCATTTGTCAACTGCTTCACTTGGTCCAGATCATCACCTTCCCCGGAGGCCATGGCAATGGGCATTTGTGGAGGGCACATGACGTTCTTCACCACGGAGAAGTAAAAATCAAATTCTGATTTCATTTTTAAGCAACTTGCTCCAATCCACTTCTCTGCTACGCTCGTAGGCACACTATCCTGGCTATCGCGTTCATGTTCCTCAATGGCGGGGCGAATTTCAGTGTACAAGGAATTGAGTGCCAAATTGGCCTTATTTCTCATCTCCTGAATCAAATAATAACATCCATGGATAAATCAAGGAAAGTTTCAAGTAAAATTTCCATCAAGAAATAAGAATTTATATTTGGTTCTAATTTCTAATAAGTTATCATCCCTCTTATAATTGTCCAGGGAAGGATCTGCCATTTTTTTTTATACATGAAAGTTTAGGCAAGGAGAGGGCATACTATCAGCACAAAGATATTGAAATTAACAAATGCCTACCAAACGTTGACAGCGAGAATCAAACCCAAAAACTTTTGAGTGAAGTGAATTGTCGTTATTTATTTCAATTTCAATTTTAAGTGGTTCAATCATCAATGTACAAAATTAGTTTTCAATATAAATTTAATTATTTTCAAATTTGTACTATTTTAGATTTTTATAATGGGATAAGGGTTAAATAAGTCTACGAACTAAACTGAGAAAAAAAATAAAACTCAAAATAAATAAACTCAGCAAAACAGTGAATTTGAGATAAGATTGAATCCAATCAATTAGCTAGTCTAACCCAAGGCCTTATAAAAACATATATTTCGCTCTATTTTTTTAATGTGGGATTCTTCTTAACAGCAATGAAATGGAGCAATTGGCCAATGAAATACATAAATTTTTCATAATAGAATAGTTGTCAAAAATAATTAGCGCATACCTCATACTTCATAATTTCTTCCTGTGCATCCTTCGATGGAAACAATTTAGCAACATTTTCCGCAGTTACTTGCTTTCGTCCAGAAGACTTGGCCCTTTGCTTTGGCACTTTCTTCTTTGACAAACCAGGTCCGGCATTGTAGTTCCGACCAGAATTATAATTTCGGATGCGAGGTATTAATGAGTTCTGTTTGTGAAAGCCAGCTTGCAAATCATTAGGAAATATTTCCTTACACTCGTTCACCTCAGCATTCAATGCTTCAGCCTCCACTGGACCTGAATAATGTGCCTCCAAGGAAATAGTTGATTCCAAACTACGTTCAGAACCCACCATAACACTCATCATTGCAGGATAGACATTTCTCCCGCTGTCCATTGGTTCAGGTTCAGAATGACTTTGCATTCCGGCTTGGTTCAGAAGAGTTTCATCCTCTCCAGAGTCATAGAGGGGAATTTTATCGACTTCATATCTGCATAAAGACAGTGACATCCCAAAGTTTAAGAACACAAATTATAAAGCAATATGGTTGTACAAACAACTCGCAGAGACTTGGATTCCCAGACACATACCAACCAAACTATCATAAATTTATTCATGCACTTAAACTATAATCTTAAATTTGTTCAAAGGTTTAGGCAAAATGGCTCTAATATATAATCAGCTATCCTCTTCAAGTGTTGAACCTACTTTAATACTGCTTCCTGCTACTATATAGCCAGCTTGGAATGAATTTCCCCAGGAGAATAGAAGAGTTTTCATGCTCTTTCCTAGAGAAAAAATAGTAATGTTCTAGAACAATTCAAAACAAAAAAGAGAACGATTAAAGGACAGAAACAATTTCATAAGCCATTTTGCAAAGGGCCTCACCAGAATTGCATGTGTTATCATTGGCTAAGGCAAGAGGTCCCATGTCAAAAACCAGTTGTGAAATTCAAAGAGATAACTCACAACGTCAGAGTAGAAAGGTTCTAATGTTACACCGTAATTCATAGTAATAGTACAAACATATGTTTTACTAGCTATTACAAAGGTCTAAGTCTAACCTGATTCTCCTACATACTGCATAAGAATAAGTGAGGTGTCCAATGACAAAGTAAATTTCCCTACTTATAAGTTATAACATCCTAGGAGAAGCCCACAGAATCCACTGACTTCATATGAGATTAAAATTGTTGAAAAGTAAACTAAAAGGAACCTGAACTATCTTCTTGTTATTCCATCTTAGAAAGAACAACACATTACAAGACATTATATAGGACGATAACAAGTGTTGGGAAGGGACATAAAAGGTCTAAAACTATTCCACTCCCCAAAGACTTAAAGGCATAATAAAGGCATAATAATAAGAGTAGGCTGCTCATATTCCAACACTCCCCCCCCCCACCCCCCCCCCCCCCTCAAGCTGGAGCGTAAATCAAAAGCTCCCAGCTTGCCACAAATATATTCTACCACGAAGAGATTTGGTGAGAACATCAGCGAGTTGATCGTTTAACCCAACAAATGTGGTAACAATGACTCCGGATGCAACCTTCTCGCGTATAAAGTGGCAGTCGACCTCGATATGTTTGGTCCTTTCATGGTAGACAGGATTGGAGGCAATATGTAGAGCTGCCTGATTGTCACAAACTAGTTTTATAGGCCCAAGCTTGCAGAAATTGAGTTCTGTGAGAAGTTGCTTAACCCAAATTAGTTCACAAATCCTAGTGCCATTGCTCGGTATTCTGCCTCTGCGCTTGATCGTGCAACCACATCTTGTTTCTTGCTTTTCCAAGAAACCAAATTCCCTCCGAATAGGACACAATATCCTGATGTCGATCTCCTATCCCAAGGACATCCAGCCCAATCTGCATGTACCTGGGGATCTTTTCAGATATCTCAATATTCTGATGGCTGCATCCCAATGACTTTGACATGGTTCTTGCAAAAATTGGCTAACTACACTTAAAGCAAATGAGATATCTGGTCGAGTGATAGTCAAGTACAGTAGCTTGCCAACTAACCTCCGATACTTACTTGGACTGGATAGGAGCTCCCCTTGTCTTGGAAGAAGTTTGACATTTGGATCCATAGGTGTGTCAACTGGTTTGCAATTTATCATTCCTGTTTCTTCAAGAATATCCAAAACATATTTTCGTTGAGACGCATAGATACCTTGTTTGGATTGAGCAAAAATACCAAGAAAATACTTCAATTTTCCAAGATCTTTTGTCTCGAAATGCTGAAACAAATGTTTCTTAAGCTGATTTATTCCTTCACTATCAGTGCCTGTAATGACGATATCATCAACATAAACCACAAGATATATGCCTTTTTCCAAGTAGATGTTTATATAAGACAGAGTGGTCAGCCTTGCTTTGAATCATGCCAAATTTTTGAACCACATCTCTAAATCTCCCAAACCAGGCACGTGGAGATTGCTTCAACCCATAGAGAGAGCGTTTAAGACGACAAACAAGACTGGCTCCTGTCTTAGCCACAAATCCAGGGGGCTGCTCCATATATACTTCCTCATTCAAATCACCATGTAAGAAGGCATTCCTTATATCCAACTGATACAGTGGCCAGTGGCGATTAGCTGCCATTGAGAGTAAGAGGCAGATAGAAGTGATATTGGCTACCGGTGAGAAGGTGTCTGTGTAGTCAATGCCAAAAACCTGCGTGTATCCTTTAGCAACAAGTCGAGCTTTGAATCTATCAACCTGTCCATCTGGCCCAACCTTCACATTATACACCCATCTACAACTAACCACAGTTTTACCAGGAGGCAAAGGAACTAACTCCCAAGTCCCAAAAGAATGGAGTGCTTCCATTTCATCAACCATTGCTTGAGTCCACCCTGGATGAGTTAATGCCTCCTTGACATTGTTTGGAACAAAAACAGTTGACAAACTAAAAATGAAGGCACAATATGATGGAGATAGACGTTTCTGCGAAAGGAAATTATAGATAGGGTAAGGATTTCGAGTGGATATTTTACCTACTCGGCTAGCAATGGGAGAGTGTGTTGTGGTGTTTTGGACTGTATCATTGGGTAATAGTGATGTAGGACATGACTCAACTGGGTGTCTACCCTCTTAGGAATCTTGATGATTGCGTCGTTGGTAGGTGTACAACAATGGTGGAACATGCCCTTCCTCTTGGATGTTTAGAGTTGGTATAATTCTTTCAGGCATAGGTATGGTCCTTTCAGGAACAGTGGGAGATACTGGTTCTGAGAAAGTAGGAACAGGGAGAACTTCTGTGATTTCAATGGGTTCTCCTAAGAAATCAGACTCAACGGAGTTGGAAGAGAAAAAGTGTGTTGTTTCAAAAAATGTAACATCGAAGGAGGTATAAAAACGGTGTGTTTTAGGACGGTAACACTTAAAGCCTTTTTGGAGGCGAGAATATCCAAGAAAAACACACTTTATTGCCTTGGCATCAAGTTTATCACGTCCTGGAAAAGTATCATGAAGTACACCCAAAAATTCGCAACGGGAGCTTATGGAGAGGTTCTTGTGGGCGCGAGATATGAAGAGAAATTTTTCTTTGTAAAACAGAAGAAGGCATTCGATTTATGAGATAACATGAGTGAAGCATAGCATGCCCCTAGAAATTCTTAAGAACCTTATTATGAATAAGCAAGGTACGAGCTGTTTCAACAAGATAACGAATTTTTCGTTCGGCGACTCCATTTTGTTGAGGAGTTCTAGCACATGAAGATTCATGAAGTATTCCATGTGAGGAAAAGAAAGAGGTGAAAGGGTCAGAAAAATACTCTCTTGCATTATCACTCCATAAGATTTTGAGAGAAACCCCAAATTGATTCACAATTTCATTGTAGAATTTTTTAAACACATCGAATAACTCAAAACGGTTTTTCATTAAAAAGACTCAAATGCACCGAGAAAAATCATCAATGAAGACAACAAAATATGAGAAACCCAAAGTGGATGAAACTCGACATGGTCCCCAAACATCGGAGTGAACTAAAGAAAATAGGGTATTGGCCCTCCTATTCACTCTACTAGGATATGAGGCTCTCGAGTGTTTCCCAAGTTGACATGATTCACACTCTATGGTTTTTAAATTTGACAAACCAGGAACACGTTTTAATTTATTGAGATCAGGGTGTCCTAAGCGACAATGGTTAAGGAGAGGTGAAGTAGTAGCAGTGCAAGCTATTTTGGTATTGGTAGAACAAAAAAGGCGATAGAGACCTCATAATTCATATCCTTTACCAATTGTTTCCTTTGTTTGACGATCTTGAATAATCACAGAATCGGAAGAAAAGGTAACAAGGCATTTAAGAGACTGATTAAGTTGATTAATTGAAATCAAATTGAAGGGATACCCGGGAATGTAAAGAACATTGGATAAAGATAAAGAATGAATAGTAACTTTTCCAATTCCTATAGCCTTTCCTTTTGACCCATCGCCAAAAGTGACAGCAGGAAGAGAGCCTGAGAAATCAATATGGGAGAAAAAAGAAAGGTTACCAGATATGTGATTAGTTGCTCCAGAATCCAAGACCCAAACTGAGTCTGACTTTAATGCAAGAGCATGAGTCTGATTTTTGGTGACCCAGGCAGACTTCCCGGCTGGTACACTGCTTGAAATTTTATGTTCTGCCATAGTTGTCATAAAAATATGAGAAAAACACCGTAGTGTTGCAGGAACAAGGCGAGATGATCTGGAAATTTTGGCCGGAAAAGGTAGCCACCGTGACCGGAAAAGAGTGAGCAGTGTCGCCGGAGCTTCTTTTGAAGGAATGTGGCACCAAATCAGTGAATAAAGCTCTTAGTTTGAGATAGTATAGAAAAGTGATGATGAACACTGTTTTTCACAGTGAGTTCATCTGGAAATTTTCAAGCCCTTCAAGGAGGTTCTGATACCATGTTGAAAAGTAAACTAAAAGGAACCTGAACTATCTTCTTGTTATTCCATCTTAGAAAGAACAACACATTACAAGACTTTATATAGGAAGATAACAAGTATTGGGAAGGGACATAAAAGGTCTAAAACTATTCCACTCCCCAAAGACTTAAAAGCATAATAAAGGCATAATAATAAGAGTAGGCCGCTCATATTCTAACACTGCTCATATTCCAACAAAAATATTAAAAAGTTAATAAATAATTAGATAAATAAAAACCTAAGTATCAATCTTTGGGAAGTATATTGTGCATGAACCTTGCTACAAGGTGTATAGCTGTAATATAGAAAACAACAAAGTATTAAAGATCATAGAATACTAAGGGAGCGTTTGGTTCAAACATTGGAATAAGAATCATAATTGGAATCAAATACTTAGTAATTGTAATGGGTTTTAGTAAATATGCAGCCTCTTTTTTGGTAGTAAATAGAAATTGTAATCAAAATAAATAAAAAAAAATATTAATTAATTAATTAATTAATAGAAATTAAAATATATAAATATATAAAAACATAAAAAAATATATATTACATATACACATAAATAAATGAGCATATATATTAAAGTTCCATTTTGAATGCATGAAGAATGACATTTTTATTCTTTTTTTTTCATTTCTTTTTTCCTCATTTTGTTATTCCAATGTTCAAAAGTAAGGGAAGGAAAGAGTAATGACTTTTAATAGTACTAACTAAAGGATTTGAATTCCATAGTAAGGTAGTAAAAGTAGGCAAACAAACATGATAAGGGTAAAGCACCTAACCAAACACTACCAAAGATTTACAAACCTTCTGCAATTTCTAAACAGAGAACAGGTCTCATTGTCTCAATAGAAGTATATATCACATCCCATACAGTGTCTTACCTAATTTCTTTCATCATATTCATGGCTGGAAATGCTCCACCCACGATCTAGGAAACTTATACATATGCACACCCAGCCAATGAAGGCTTTGCCAAGTCAGTCATGCATAAGGCCACCCTAACGTGAGGTCAGGAGGTCGATCCCCAACCAGTGAAATTCCGGGTGGAATATTTTATGTTGCATTTATAGTAACTGGGAAAATTGGAAAATAGAAGAAGTGCTTTTTGCACTGTTTTTCATTTTTTCCATTGGAAAACAATTTTCCACTTTTCCAACTTAACAAAAGAATTTGGAAAATACAATAATCACCATTATCATTACCCATGGACTTCCACTTATATATATATATATATATATATATATATATATATATATATATATACTCCTACCACCTACATACCTACCCGCACACCTACCCCACCATCACCCCTATCTACTTAACCTTTGCACCACCATCATTACCCATACCATCTATTTACCCACCACTACAACTACATTCACTATAACCTTCTCTTCCTTTGCATAATGAGAAGAAACATATCCTGTCTTCTATGAATCTCTTTTCTGATGCTTTACTGCCTTTGCCATCTCATACACAAAACCATCATGTATCCATATAGGTTAAAAATTGGAGCGACAACCAAAATCGAAAGACAACTTTATCTAGAACAATGAAGACAACTAGAATTACCTGTCATCTCCCTCTTCCCACAAATGGTTCTGCTCCTGTATAACAATAAGTCAATAATAGGAAAAGTAAAGACCAAGCTCAAAGAAACATATTTTTCAAATTTTGGAAAATGATTCTACTTCATATTATTATTGGTATTCACCTGGAAACCATGAGACTTTGCACCCAGAAATATAGAGCAGTTTGGAGCTCCACAAAGACATCGAACAGTAGCACCCCCATACCATTCAAAGTTGTAGTTATATGTGAGCTCAGTTCCCATGGAAATATCTTGCTTGGCAAATATACCAACCCTTGTTTCTCCCAATACTGTCCATTTCCTTGTTTCACAATTTGGTAGGCTGGTAAGTTCCAAAAACAAAAGACCTCTTTCAGTGCCATGTGATTTGGAACAATCAACAGACACAATATGTAATTTAGGGACATATATTTAATTTTAAATGATTTTGAGAATTGACCGATCTTACCAGGAATGATTAATAAATCTTGCCAAGCTTCCCTTCCTTGTAGCATCAATGAAATAATTTGCATTTGAAGAGATTATATATGCATCCTTAAGGCCTGCATCAATCAACACAAAGTGTTTTTGTATTCTGCATAATTAATTTGTTGACTAGGATGTCAAAATGTTTCAAAAACTACCCTTAATTTCATAAGTTTGGGACCTCCGCCTTGCTTCATCTGATGATATTACTTCTCCACAGTACTCGATGATAAATTGTCCAGCCTAGTTATATGAAAAGAAAGGAAACTTAAGTGACAAGAGGTCATTCATTGAAAGAAAATATGCACGATGAGTAATGATAAGAGAGTTGATATAAAACTACTCCATAAATTAATTATCTTCATGCCATGGCCATGTTAATAGTGCCTACAGACAATATACATATTCTTTGACACATAAGCTTCTACATTACAAGATAAACTACTTCCAATCTGCGCGCGCGCACACACACACACACAATTTTATAAAGTATTACCACTGGTTTGTAAATAATGCATCTACCACACAATCTCACAATCATGTTGTAAATACATGTTAATGAATTTAACTATAAGTAGGAGTACAATGTAATAGAAGATGCTAGAGAGTAGAGGTAGAGGTGGTGGAAAAGGCGCAATAATGACAGATTATGTTTTTTTTTGTTTCTCTTTTAGTTCTTTTTTCTAGTTATTGTCTTGTTCCTTCTTTCCTTAATTTTCGGAAAATCATTGCAAGTCCAAAATATTCAATTTAAATCATATTATCATGAAAAGGATATTGTGCCAACCCACATCAGTAAGGTTGTAAATACACAGTAAGGAAGTTACCTATGAAGAGAGCATAATGTAATACTTAGATACATAAATTAAAATAATAATTTCTCCCTATATTCACCAAAGTACACAAAGAATTCCATTTTTTAACCCTAAGATGCACAATAAATGGTTGGGGAAAAAAAAAAAAAAAAAACCAGAAAGAAGATATGGCTTCAAGCACCTTACCTTTATACTCTCATCAGCTTGGAGACCCCACCCACGGCCTTCAGTTCCAAACAACTTTGTTTTAGCATATTCAGATTTCTGGAATCTCTGAAAAATAATAAATACTAGCAATTCTAAATAAAATGCCTCCAATCCATTGTATGCATAATTTGAGAGGCATAATTAACAAGAAATCTTAAATTAACAAATGACTCATATAACCTAATGTCCTAATGACAATCCAAAAAATTGAGATAGACTTGGTAATTCCAGTCTCCAGACGCCAGGAATGGCTTGTAAGATCTAGGACATAAACAGGGAAATTTGAAATTTTTAACATTTAGTATCAAATTAGAACAGATAGCACTTGATCAGCATGTTGTTCCTTGGTACTCAGTCACATATAGCCTTGGCAACATTCAGCATTTCAAAAAATGTATCTCCTATTCCACACCTAAATTACATGCCCACTAATGGCCACATTTCAAGATGATTAATTCATTCATCTGAAGCATATCACTAACTCTCCTCAACAGGCTTCTTTTAGACTGCTTTACCTCCAAAATGTTCTTTACTGTAATTTTTATGTAATACAGAAAAAGCTAGGCATCAAGCTGGTGTTTGTATATACAGTCAGAGCAATAAAAAGCTTTAAACTCCATAAAGCTCATATATACCAAATTAGACTCTTTTTTACACAAGTGACTCAAACATGATAATTTTAGTCTATAAACAGATATTGCAATCTCTCTTCTTTATGTGTAATCTTCACTCAGTTGTATAATTCCGAGACCAGTGCGCATAATTGATCCACTACCCAATCATTAAATGCTCTTCTAAGCATGATCTTCAAATGACCCTAGCCTTGATTGGATGGATTTGTTAAGGCTATTCTCACATGCCTCATGTTTATATATAGTACATAAAACCAAAAGAAAAAATCCTTTGGTCTTTGCAAGATTTTCATCATGTGAATGCTGATGATTAATTTATTCAACAATAATAATGCCTAGTGGCACCAGCATTAATCTTCCAGAGTACAAAATCAATATTTCAAGACAGATTCCTATGTCTAATATGATTTCACAAAACTTGAGCAAAGAATAAAAGAGAACAATAAATATGAATAAGAGATAAGAGAATGCTTAAATGTATGATTAAAGATTTATCCAGTGATTGCAAAAGACTAAAGCCAAGATTATTCATTTTACATGTTAATTACCATATTATGACGCTTCAGCTAATCTTAGTACTCTTTTAAGTTTATAGCATGAAAAATTTTAAGCTGCACTACCCATAGTTTTCCAACAGCATAGACATGGATAACAAAAGCTCATGCTCTGAACAAGAATTTACTCTACTTTCCTAACTTAGTGTCAAGGATACAGCAATCAAGAGTTTAGTTATGCAGACACAAGCAAAAAGAGAGGCTTGCATAAAGCTTTCAGAAACTCCTTAACCTGATTCTTGCAATAATTGCCAGAAGGGCAGTATCCAGGTGTGCATTCAGTGCTGGTTAATACATTCAAGCACCCTTCTCCACATGCACTTTCAGGATCACTGGTTTCATACTTGCATACACAAATAGCAATGTCCTCATCTTTAAGTTTTTTAGCTCTGTAAAATATCAGAAGAACCTGATTTAAAATCATATTCCATAGTGAAGCCAGTTTAATCACATGAACAGTGACTAAGTTTGGCATGTCGTAACTGCATCAGGAAAATTAACAAACAGACCAACAATGTAAGAGTTGAAGGAAAAGGTTCACCATTTGGTAGCAACCCAGAAACTCATGGAAGAATGAATTAAAGGTAATTGTGGAATTACAACTTGCTATGCAGAAATTTTTACCCCAAGAATGAAAGGACAAGGCTATGTAGTCTTGGATTCTAAGCTAAACCTAACATGTATCTCTTACTGTATCATTATAACAATGCAGTTATGCAGTGCTTATCAGCAATCAGCGGACTCACCAAAGTGAATAAAACAAATAAGAAATAAGGAATTCAGTTCACATCAGAAAAAGCTACATATTAAAGGAGATACTAGATCAGTGATTGGCTAATAAATACTCTTCTAGCCCATTCACTTTAGGTAAAATAGGCAATAGAATATTCTACAGAAGTCAAATATTTTACAGGTTATGGTGTTCAGTTGACTGAAATGCATGCAAAGAACTTTCTGGGAAAACTTATTTTTATGCCATAGCATAAAATCTTTTAACAATTACAAGTAAAGCAATTTATGCATCTTTCTCCATTTTCTTCTGGCAAAAATATGCTTACTGTTATAAAACTATCATTTGAACCTAATCCCATTTTCATCTGCTTCTGCCAGCATGTCCTTTTGCTTGCTTCCAAGATGTTCATTATTTTTTTCCTGGCCAATTATGCAATTACCCAATAGTTGAATAGTCAGTACGTCCATTTCTACCGTTTTAAGTTTTTTTTTTTTTTTTTAAATCTTTTTTCCTTGTTTTTGGTCAAGCAAACTTCTTTGATTTAAATTGCTCCAAACAGTTCTACAAAAGTTATTGATAGAAGGAGATAAAGTAGAGAGATCAATTGATTAAACACAATGGAAAAAGGTAGAGAACAATGACTTCTTTCTTGCATATGATGGTGTTTAATAATTTAATAGATGTAACACTTGTTTTTCTATTGGATTTTTCGCTTATGTGAACAATTGGAAAGCAAATGAAAGAAATTTTATAACAATACTAACTAATCACTAGAAAACCTTTTACAATCATAGAAGCTATTCCCAGCAAAATTTTATCATTAGGCCTTTTTTTTCTTTTCCTTTAGAAAGTGAACGATGCCATTAAATCAATTTAAAGAATAATGGAATGAGAAAACCAAGGAAATACCATGTGGTGCATTATCTCACCCCAAGATATGCGTAAGCCGTAAGCCATAATACATATAAAGATTTTGACTGAGAAGTTTGATCCATATATGAAGATGTAAACAACATAGAGAAATGAAGTAGATACAGTACAGCAGCATAAGTTTCAAAGACGTGAAAGAAAATAAGCAACATGGATATAGAAATAGTGTGCTTATGGCATGCCGCATGCCTTATAATACAGTGGATTATGTCACCTGAAATTGAGCAATGCAAGCCTAAAATCTCTTATTAATTGCACAAGGTAGAAGGTTTAGAATTTGAGATCAAGCTTAATTATTAAAAGCATGGGTATTTTCCTGGTTTTTCAAGCAATTAGCAATTTTTTCTATTTTTCCTGTAGCACTTCAGAGTCACACATCAAGTAATCGCCCAAACGTTCAGATAACATTTTTGAACTTTAAAATGACAGCAAACCTAGGAACTCCTTTTTGTTGATTTAACATTGGATGGTATCCCCCTTGGGTACCTTTTAATAAGATTAAAGATTCTTAACTCTTTTAATTGGCATTAACCTCTGCAACTGACTCAATGCCCAACTGCTGAAGTTGGCTTCTTTAGAAGTGAGGCTCACCTATGAGAATAGGGGTACAAGTCATAAGTTCCATTATAATAAAGACTTCCTATTATCCTATAGGGTATTGGCACGTTTTCATATACGCCTATCCTATCAGTTGTTTCTCCCCACCCCATTGCCCCAACTAATAATTTGCAAATACAGCATTTGTATAACAAGATCGAATTTATAGAAAAATGTCAGTACTTTCAGTTTATTAATTCACAATACCTTCCCTATAATTCGGTATTTCGGTAGTAATTCAAACAACAGAATTCTGCAAACAATCTGTTTTTAACTGTTCTCATGTCATGATGCAGCATGCCGGAATGGGTACAGGTCCTTTGAAATCCTCATAACTTCTATTTTAATATGACAATTTAAGGAGTAGACTAATGAATCACCTAAATTGTCTCCAAAGCATTAAAATTGAATCATTCAATTTATTTTCTTTATCAGTGTTGATAAATCAAGTAATTCAGATTTCCTGTTACAAATCCTCTCTAAAGTGATATTCCAAATTGAAGAATACAAGAATGAGTTTCCTTGGTATATATCACAAACAAGTTAGAAAAGAAAAAAGAAATCAAAGAAATATTTAGAATTCAAAGCACAGCTCATCAAAATTATAAGCTGGTAGTTAAAATATAGCCAGATAATAAATTCCTCATTAGAAATACAGTGAAGAAATGTATCAACAGGTAACAAACAGATGTGCTTACTTTCGTCCTAAGAAATCATTTTGATTGATATGTATAAATGGTGGTACTCCATCAGGTAGTTGGACCTTCAAGGAAAAGAAACTATCACCTTGTCATTTAAGGTATTTAGAATAATAAGATGCTACTTATTTTAAATAAAAAAAAAAAAATCATAAATAAGTAAAGGGATAATTTTACTAGGGCATCCTAAGATTGAGTCCAGTAACACCTAGACAACCTCTTATTTTTAGAAATTACACTCAAAACCCTTGTCAACAGTGAAAAGAGGGATTTTCCTAGTCTGTCCTCAGAAAGATATGTAACAAAACTGGTAATGGAAATGCAAAGTGTATATAGTGGAAAATGAACCTGAAATGAAATGATAAAAGCTCAGGGTCCAGAAGTAATTTTAAAAACAAAAAGATGGTCCAGGTGTTAATCGTCTAAATCTCAAGGGAATCCAAGAGAAATAATCCAATAAATAAATGAAACAGAGCTGCAACATATAGATGTTGAGAGTCATTAATAATTCATTAATTATAATGAAAATATATTCCGTAATCTGAAGGTTTTAGAATAAAATGCATTAATGTATAATAAACATATATGAAAAAAAAAATAAGTTTTAACACAGTAACACCAGCACCCAGACAAATCAATTGGTGAAAACAAAATAATACAAACACAGAGATTTTCATCTGATGAGCCTTTTAAGCAATGCCTTCGGTGTTTTAAATTACAAACCTGACCCTTTATTCTAGGGACATGAAGGAGTACATGAATGACTTTTATTTATACAAAATAGCCAACACCCATAAGGGTACTTGAGGGTATTATTTGAGGAATTTAGACCACTTTCACAATGTATTATTCAAGGGTACTAGGCACAAAGAGAGCCAGCACCTATATGGGCTCTACCTAGACCATATCTCTATGCTTGCAACAAATCACTTAAGAAAGGGGTAGCTACAGTTCTCTTCCAACATTTACCTGTAGATGCGCTAATCATAAAATTTTTTTTAAATTGAAAAGTGAAAAAAAAAAAAAAAAAAAAAAAAAAAAAAAAAAAAAAAGAAGAAGAAGAAGAAGAAGAAGAAGAAGCACCAGAAGCCATATCACTTTAAAGTCCAAAGCCAACTAGCCAGGAAATACTTCACAAAGCAACATGAAGTGGAAAAATCAAATTTTATGATTCAAAATAATATGTAAATGATTTGTTCTGCTGGTAGATCCCAAATTGGAAGAGTTGCTCTTTTTTATTCCCTTTTACCTTTTTATTAAATTTCAACCGAAGATCCATTGCCTCCTCTAAATTTCATTTCAAGGTCAAAATCGAATTGACTAGCAACAAGGTCATTTGTTACTTTAATTGTTTCTTCTTCGCAACAAGGTGTTTCATTGCTTCTCTAACGGCTTGGGGACATTTTGTACAAGATTTTACAATATGGTACCTGCCAATGAGATGCAATTTGTGTCGAAGTATATCTCCTTTGATGATATTGACACAACAATTACATTGAACACGAGTATTGTCGTTTGGCACACTTCAAGGTCAAATCGAATTGACTAGCAACAAGGTCATTTGTTACTTTAATTGTTTCTTCTTCGCAACAAGGTGTTTCATTGCTTCTCTAACGGCTTGGGGACATTTTGTACAAGATTTTACAATATGGTACCTGCCAATGAGATGCAATTTGTGTCGAAGTATATCTCCTTTGATGATATTGACACAACAATTACATTGAACAAGAGTATTGTCGTTTGGCACACTTCATGTTCCATGCCCTCAACCAAGGTCTTGATTTTAGTTTGAGAAGTTCACATATTATCTAAAGATTTCAAATATTAATTGATTTAATTAAATTAAATTTAAAAATAAAAGATTACAAAATAGGCCATGGACAGAGAGTCCGAAATTGAGAACATGTCTCTGAATGGACAAAGAGACAACTTTGCATCTATGTCTATTGGGAGTCAATGTCAAAAAAAAAAAAAAAAAAAAAAACAGAGAGACAGAGACAGAGACTAGCTAAGGCAATTCAGCAAACAACAAAAGAGAAGGAAAAGCCAATTGAAAGAAGAACCCATGCGCCCATACTCGAACATATTGAGGAGCAGCAGAGGGATAATGTCACTGACCAAATCAAAGGCTTCTTAAAGCTAAGGAGTTACTGAGGCAACACAAAGGGAGGTAATTGATTTTTAACCCTAAATTTGAAATGTTGGTAGCATTGACTTTTTGTTGAATACATAACCACAACTCTCACTGCACTTTCGCATCAATAAAATTTAAACCAATGTGAACACTTTGGTTGACATTCTCAGAAAACTGCATTTAGCATGAGCAAATCATAGTGACATTGGTTGTGATCACTTCAACGATTATGCAACAAAGCTATGGCTTTTCACAAGTGTGGCTAATCATACATGTAATTATAGGAAAGATATACGTATAATAGAAGAGTAGCAACTATAAAGTATAAACAGTAAAACAGCATTATCTACAACTTCACATAGGAACCTATGCAAATCAAGCCAAAGGTAAGCAATGATATGTAAATGGCATGCATTATGATATGTTTTTAAAGACTTAGATATAACTTTAGAGCCAACTCATCCCATGGATATTTGTCAAGTACCCCTGAATATACCCCCCAAGTAAATCTCCCAAACATATACAAGGGCAAGAATAACCCTAAGCAATCCAACCCTAGACTTGGTCTACAAGCCAATGCTTGCTTAGTAGGGAGTGGACCATCCCCCCAAAGCCTTTCCAATGATTGTGCCTTTCAGTCATCGTTTGATCAATGTTTTTCTTTCCATCATAGCATTTTCTTTGTAATTTTGCCTTCCCCGTGTCATGGCCTTTCCATTTCTTCCATTTTTAAATGACAGAGTTCTCAAGAGTTAAACGCATAAAGCAATTTCTTTTCCACACCAAAAACATACATTATTAACAGATTAAAATCACATGTCTAAGATGGAATCCAAGGGTGAATAAAAAATGGACACAAATCAGGCATACCTCGCAGTTGTTCTCTTCCTGCAACTGCATCGTCTCTCCCGCCTGGACGGACATGCTTTCACCTACCGAGAAGAATTTCATTGCTACTCAATTACTATAAAAAATTAAGAATATGTTACACAAAACGGTTAAGTTCAATAGTCATGGATAACTGAAAATCCGAGCATCGGAAACAATCTAGGGTTAAAGCAGATAAAGCTGTACTGATACAGTGATACACTTTTTAAATTAGTCCTTTATATTAAATGGAGAGTTAATTTTCAAAATGGTCCTCCGACTATAACCTTTTTATCAAACTGTTCCACATAGAATATCGACAAAATTAAGGAACGTACAGGGACGTTGTGGTCATTGTTAAGTATTAACATGGGGTGGTGCCGCAGTTGGCTAGTGCGTAGGTCTCATAACTTTTGAGTGATCCTGAGAATTGAACCCAGGTCTCTTGGAGGGTTCCGCAGCTGCAGCAGTGTATATATATATATATGTAGTATATATATGTATATATTTATATAATTAAATATAAATAATAATTAATTTGTAAAATTATCTTTGTTTGAAGCTTTAATTTGATGTAGATGTAGATGTAGATGATAGAAAGAATTGTAGAGATTGATGTATAATGGCGGAAGAAATTGTTTGATTAATGTTGATGATGAAAAGAATCGGGGAAGAAATCGTAGATGTAGAATGATTCGTAGGGAGAGAATGCAAAGAAAGATAAAGGTTAAAATTGAAAAATAAAAATTATATTCCTAAGGACCCAGGAATAAGTTAATACCGGGGGGTCTGGTAATAGCTATTACCTTATTTGAGGTAATAGGTTATTGCTATGAACTAGTATTTTTACCCGTGCGATGCACGGAATGGAATTGTTGTAATATATTAAGAATATTTAAATCAATATATAATTATTTAAGAGTTAATTTCACCCGAGGTCGCTTATCTTTCCTGATAATTCCAAATTTAATCCTAGACTATAGTTATTAATTATTACGATTTATTATATGTTATAATTCTTACGTTAATATTCTTACTATTATTATTAACACATAATTACTTTTAGATATTATTATTACAACTTATATTATTATTATATTATTATTATTATTATTAGTTTCTTTTCAAGTTCTGTTAGTATATAATGGTCGTGAGGCACAATAATAATATAACCATAATTAAATATTCTTGTTTTGTATTCCGTGAGTCACAATAATAATATAATTAAATATTCTTCAATTTTATATTCTTCTAGAATTTCTATTACCATCATTAATTATTTCCTAATTTACCATAATTAAATAATTTGACCAATTATAAAGAAAGATTATTAAATAATGCACGGGACAATTTTTTAATTAACAAATTTTAAAAATTCATTACTAAAACATAAGGTTCTCATAGTTTTTTCTTAGAAACTATTTAATAAAGCATTTTTTTAAAAAATTGGTGGGCCAAACCGCCTACGGCAGTTTGCGGTGGATAGATCTCGAAAAAATACGCGATTTCAAAAAAACATTTGTCCAAAACGGACAACCGAGTCAAAAGTTATGCTTTGCCGAACTTTTGACACTTTACAACTTAAAATAAATAAAAAAAATTAATCACCGGTTCAGCCGGCGAGGCAGCCGCGAAGGAGGCCGATTCCGGCCTTCCAAGTCGCGGCCAGCGGCGCGATTTTTGCAACACTGATATATAGTATAGATATAGATTAGAATAGGAATAGTATTACACAATTTTATAATATTAGAATAGAATTTTAACCCAGAATTATTGTAGAAATCAATATATTTTATTAGGAAGAGAGATTTTTTAGGAATTGGTCCACTCAACTGTGTGGACAATGGTCCACGGTATAACAATCGCCTTTGCACGATCTTGCATTATCAAGTGGCCTACAAAAATATCATTTCAATTCAAATACAATTCTATTTGACAATATACACTCAATATGTGAGACATGCTATTCAATTTCATTTTATACATACTGCAGTTTCGTTTCAACACAACTAAAGTATCATTTCAATTCAATTACATTTTCATTTGACAATATATGCGAGACAAATTATTCAGTTTAATTTGAAACACACTGTAGTTTCATTTTATTATAAACACACAAAAAATACGAGATCTGTTAAAATTTAACGGCGGTAATTCTTTACTTAAAGACACGACGCCATTTTCGGAACATGGTCCACTCAACTGTGTGGACCATGGTCCACGGTATAACAATCGTCTTTGCACACCATTGATCTTGCATTATCTAGTGGCCTACAATTCCTTAACACAAATGCACTGGTAATTTAAAAAAGGAACGTACGGGGACGTAATGGTCATTGCCATGTATCAATGTGGGGTGGTGGCGCAGTTGGCTAGCGCGTAGGTCTCATAGCTTCTGAGTGATCCTGAGGTCGAGAGTTCGAGCCTCTCTCACCCCATATTCTAAAATGTGGTTTTTCCCCTCGCCGTGAACTAGCAGTGCAAAAAATAAAAGAACAAAAAATAGTTTCCGTTGCCGGGAATTGAACCCGGGTCTCTCGGGTGAGAGCCGAGTATCCTAACCAACTAGACTACAACAGATTCATTGTTCCACTTTTTCATCTTCTGAATATCGGCAAAATTTGACTGTGGACCTTGGTCCACACAGCTGTGTGGACCATTGTCCAAAACGGAGTCGTTTCTTTTAATGAAAATAAACGGCACCGCACCCGTTCTGTGTAATTAGTTCGGTTTGTATAACATATCCAGTTTCATTTTATTTATATTGTAGTTTCATATCAGCACAACTAAAGTTTCATTTTGTTTCAACTGCAGTTCCATTCGACATTATATGTACAATAGTCTTATTACAATGAGACTTGTTATTGAATTCTATTTTATACTCACTGTAGTATTGTTACAACACCACTAAATTATAATTCTAATTCAACTACGATTTCATTTTATATACACTGTAGTTTCATTAAAACACAACTAAAGTATCATTTTGATATAACCACAGTCTCATTTGACAATATAACACTCAATACGTGAGACATGTTATTCAGTTTCCTTTTATACATGCTGTAGTTTCATTTCAGCAAAACTAAAGTATCATTTCAATTCAAATACAATTCTATTTGACAATATACACTCAATATGTGAGACATGCTATTCAATTTCATTTTATACATACTGCAGTTTCGTTTCAACACAACTAAAGTATCATTTCAATTCAATTACATTTTCATTTGACAATATATGCGAGACAAATTATTCAGTTTAATTTGAAACACATTGTAGTTTCATTTTATTATAAACACACAAAAAATACGAGATCTGTTAAAATTTAACGGCGGTAATTCTTTACTTAAAGACACGACGCCATTTTCGGAACGTGGTCCACTCAACTGTGTGGACCATGGTCCACGGTATAACAATCGTCTTTGCACACCATTGATCTTGCATTATCTAGTGGCCTACAATTCCTTAACACAAATGCACTGGTAATTTAAAAAAGGAACGTACGGGGACGTAATGGTCATTGCCACGTATCAACGTGGGGTGGTGGCGCAGTTGGCTAGCGCGTAGGTCTCATAGCTTCTGAGTGATCCTGAGGTCGAGAGTTCGAGCCTCTCTCACCCCATATTCTAAAATGTGGTTTTTCCCCTCGCCGTGAACTAGCAGTGCAAAAAATAAAAGAACAAAAAATAGTTTCCGTTACCGGGAATTGAACCCGGGTCTCTCAGGTGAGAGCCGAGTATCCTAACCAACTAGACTACAACGGATTCATTGTTCCACTTTTTCATCTTCTGAATATCGGCAAAATTTGACTGTGGACCTTGGTCCACACAGCTGTGTGGACCATTCTCCAAAACGGAGTCGTTTCTTTTAATGAAAATAAACGGCACCGCACCCGTTCTGTGTAATTAGTTCGGTTTGTATAACATATCCAGTTTCATTTTATTTATATTGTAGTTTCATATCAGCACAACTAAAGTTTCATTTTGTTTCAACTGCAGTTCCATTCGACATTATATGTACAATAGTCTTATTACAATGAGACTTGTTATTGAATTCTATTTTATACTCACTGTAGTATTGTTACAACACCACTAAATTATAATTCTAATTCAACTACGATTTCATTTTATATACACTGTAGTTTCATTAAAACACAACTAAAGTATCATTTTGATATAACCACAGTCTCATTTGACAATATAACACTCAATACGTGAGACATGTTATTCAGTTTCCTTTTATACATGCTGTAGTTTCATTTCAGCAAAACTAAAGTATCATTTCAATTCAAATACAATTCTATTTGACAATATACACTCAATATGTGAGACATGCTATTCAATTTCATTTTATACATACTGCAGTTTCGTTTCAACACAACTAAAGTATCATTTCAATTCAATTACATTTTCATTTGACAATATATGCGAGACAAATTATTCAGTTTAATTTGAAACACACTGTAGTTTCATTTTATTATAAACACACAAAAAATACGAGATCTGTTAAAATTTAACGGCGGTAATTCTTTACTTAAAGACACGACGCCATTTTCGGAACGTGGTCCACTCAACTGTGTGGACCATGGTCCACGGTATAACAATCGTCTTTGCACACCATTGATCTTGCATTATCTAGTGGCCTACAATTCCTTAACACAAATGCACTGGTAATTTAAAAAAGGAACGTACGGGGACGTAATGGTCATTGCCACGTATCAACGTGGGGTGGTGGCGCAGTTGGCTAGCGCGTAGGTCTCATAGCTTCTGAGTGATCCTGAGGTCGAGAGTTCGAGCCTCTCTCACCCCATATTCTAAAATGTGGTTTTTCCCCTCGCCGTGAACTAGCAGTGCAAAAAATAAAAGAACAAAAAATAGTTTCCGTTGCCGGGAATTGAACCCGGGTCTCTCGGGTGAGAGCCGAGTATCCTAACCAACTAGACTACAACGGATTCATTGTTCCACTTTTTCATCTTCTGAATATCGGCAAAATTTGACTGTGGACCATTGTCCAAAACGGAGTCGTTTCTTTTAATGAAAATAAACGGCACCGCACCCGTTCTGTGTAATTAGTTCGGTTTGTATAACATATCCAGTTTCATTTTATTTATATTGTAGTTTCATATCAGCACAACTAAAGTTTCATTTTGTTTCAACTGCAGTTCCATTCGACATTATATGTACAATAGTCTTATTACAATGAGACTTGTTATTGAATT